CTTGCCTGATGTGTGAATTTTTTGTTCAGAAGGCTGTTCAGCGAGATAGAAAAAAGGAGTCATTTAGCAGTTAATTTTTTTTTCACATATATGCACTGTATTATTCAAATTGAAGATGTTTACTTACATGCATGGTCACTCTTAATCAACTATGTTCAATTGCCGCATTGTGTTTCTATGTACAAGTATCAACAACCTGTTTCTTAGGGGAACTCTATGATCTGAGTAAATAGTAAATCCTTCTTTTGCATATGATACCCATAAGTGCAACCTGAGTACTTGAGGAGGTGTATGGGAAATCAATACTTCTGTTTTTTTTCATTTTGTATCTACAACAACTGTGACAAAAGTGTCTAAAGACACCAGCCTAACTGAAATTAGCAGCAAACTGGCTGATTTCCTAAAAAAGAAAAGTGTCAAAAAACCTGAGAAGACTGATAAGTGTTAAACATAAAGGACTTGTACATTCTATTTTTTTAAAACAGTTGGTAAGTCTTGAAGTCCTTAAGAAATATTGAAGTGTTAAAACTTAAAATAGTTTGCAGTCTTAAAATTGCTGTCATGTTAGATCAAAGGTCAAGAAACATAAGTTGCAGTTACTAGCTTTTTGTTTTTCTGATAAACTTGTATGGAAAAGTAAATTTGATCATTCTTAATGACAACATATTCAATACGAGAAGTAAAATGCATCGTATTTAAGATAGTATGAATTAGAGTGTGAGCTGAATACTCTTTACAATGTGGGGTTACTTTTTGCTGGTTGTCAATCATACAATTACAGGGCTAGTTTGCTCTGCTTATAACACAGAGGCTAGCTGTAAAACATCTGAATCAAAGGTGCCAGCCAAGCTTGCCCTGGCATTTACAGCTGGCTAATGGTCAAGCTCATGGCTGGCTTCCCTGGCTAGCCTGGTCAAGCCAGGCCATTTGCTCTGTTATGGTATGGCCTGGGCTAGCCGCGGCTTCCCCGGATTTTTTTTTCAAAGGCAAAAAGCTTGCCATTTACATCATCAAATAGATCCATAATGGAGAAAGGTGCCATATGTAGATCCTGCATAAATTTATCTTGCTTGAAAATTTTCAGGCTACGCAAACATATTTTTCGTAAACGCGATCTAGGTGCTTAAGACCGTAAGACAGTAAAAACCCTCAAATGATCACTGATCTGAGTATCCACCACACCAGATGCCAAAGTCCTTGTCTTATTATTAGTCAGGACGAGTCAGTTGTTATGGTCTTACGAGTTGCTTGGGTAATTAAGAAATTGAGATCAAAGATATCCAGCAAGTCTAAGAGGCCCCTACCATCTTTTGGAGGCTTGTCTGGATCTAACAAATCTGCATTGAAATCTCCGGCGTAAAACAGTATCTGAAAGTAATGACACTACTTGAAAGACTAATTGAAGGTCATTAATCCATTGATATTTCGGTACAGGCAGAGGCCTGTAAACACCAACAACTGTTATCCAGCCCTTTCCTAGTTTGATTTTAAGAACCATAAACTCTGTTTGAAAGGTAGTCAAATCCTTAAGGGATATTACTTTGAGCTGTCTCACTCTCATGAAGTAGACATCACTCCTGACATAAATCATTAACCCTTCGCCGCCAGCCTGTCTGTCGTTGCGACATAGGCGGTAACCATCAATATGAAATTGACTGTCCGCAAAACTTGCATCAGTCTTGGTCTCATAAATAACTAAAATGTCGAATCTACTAGAGAGTAGCCAAGATCTTATTTCATAGAATTTGAAGCCACCAACGCTGTTAGCATTAATATGGCTGATCTTGAAAATTCACTGTGCTTTCGAGCTATGTTTTCAAACTCTGCCCAAACTGATGTCACTGTATCATTCTCCTCAAGGGCTGATTCGACGTTAGACTTGCATATGCAAAAGGAAAGTGATGTAGCAGTTTTAAGCACGACCTGCTGATCCGCGAAATGTTATTAGTGGATTTCATGTCTTGATACTCTTTAGGTAGCATTCCACCACATTTGATGTGAGTCCACTAAGAGCAGCCATCACACCAAGTCGCTTGATGATTGTGGGCCACAACCCGGCCACACTCAGAACATTTTTTGTAAACTGAGGCCCTGGATTAGTGCTTATATCACCACAGTTAAAAGTAAGTTAAAGCAGCTGAGCCGTTCCTATAGTAAGTCACTGTCGACTTCGAGTAGTTACCGACATGGCTTATTGTCAACCTGATTACTCCCTTTAATCCATGGCGTAATACTATTTCCAGCAAAAGCCATCTTGGAGGAGGAGGCGGCTAGTGGTGTCGTCGTTGAAGATCTGACAGGGAAGGAAGTTCTAATCGAAGAGTTGATCGAGCGAGAGGATACCATCAAACCAGATGTCAACCGTCTATAAGTTCAACAGAAGAATGACAAAGATAAAGCCGAAGACATAAGGAGGAAAGCCATGGAGAGTATGAGGGAAACAAAAAAGCTAAAATTATCGAGAGGAACGACTGATAAGGATCAGCCAACAACCTCAGGCCACAAGAGATGTGCACAACCGCTAGTGGATTTCTTGCGCGAAAATGCTAACTGAGTTGGACATTAAACGAAAGGATCAGGGAAAACAGCAGGAAACGATACAAGCCATGACGTTACAACAGCAACAGATGAATCAGGCTTTCATATCAGTTGTCAAGAAACTGCTTGAGAATTGAAA